GGAATCCGACTATAGGTTGGGGGGTCTTTTGGCCATTATCTCTTTTAACATGATTTAGTACTTTAAAATTATGATCATTTTCATTTTGACTTTTTTATTTGCAATATTTGTTTTATGCAATATCGTTATTATTTTTGTTGAATATTTTAGTGTCATCACTCATATCATATTTTATGTTATTTTCTTAAGAAACACCTTAGATAATTGTATTTTGATAGGACTAACCAAATATTTGAAGCACAAGTTCATTATATGTTTGTATGGATACTTTATCGGAAAAATCTGAAAAATTCAAAAAAAAATTCGAGGTTGAAAAACCTAAATTTTATTAGTTTAGTTTAAGTTTTTAAATTAAAAAAACCAACATAAACAATTTGATATTTAAAAAATCTGAATCAATCCTGTCCATGAATTTAGTACAAGTCATTTTACTAACGAGGACCTATATGAGAGGTCAAGAATTCTACCTACAAAGTATCTACAATTTTGGCCTAGCACTTCTATCTGTGTAGGGACTACAAAAGTTTGGTCTAGTGCGCATATGTCAAAAATTTTACTATGGTAGAGGTCTAACCAATCAAAGTTGGAAGAGGCTCCACTCATTTTTTTAACATGTGGATCGTGGGGGTCCAAACTATTAGTTAAGGCTGAAAAATGAAATCAAAAGGAGAGAGAATGTAAAGTTTAAGTGGAAATTATAAGACAATTGTGGAGTCAATTTAATACTATGCTGACAATTTTTTTTTGACTGCCCATATCTTTTCTATCAATTGTATATATATCTCAATAAATATACTATTCTGGACAAGAATAGTTACAACACTCTAAAACCCAATCGCTAATTTTTCTAACTTGTTACCTGTTGCTGTTACTGTTTTTTTGACACATACTGTTATATTTTCATTTTTATAATTTTATCTGTGTTGAAACTTGAATCTTATAAAATATATAATACATTTATCTTTACAATGTATGGGTAAAGTCGCATAAAGGGGCAAGGCTAGCAAGGTAGGCCTTGAAAATATATTTTCATCTCACTCATATAGTCATGTTATTTGTCTACTTTCTTTTTATACACATCTTTACTAAAGAAATTATAAATAAGTAGAAAAAAAATTACTAATTGCCTTGTAACTCTTCTTAATTCACTCTATTTTAATTATCTAAAATAAATAATAATTTCGGAAAAATATTTTTAATAATATGAGACGGAGGGACCACAAGTTTGTATAGAACCTTTTCTCAATTAATAAATGCTAACATAATGTACATTCTCACTAGTCACTACGATAAATAATTTAACTAATGAAATAATTTATATTTTGTGTAAATGAAACACAACATGATAAAATTAAACCAACAATCATTTAATGAGATTTTTGAGTTTTCAAAACAAACAATTTCATTTCTTTTTTTCCGCTCTTTTTTCATATTGTCCTCCATTTCTTCACGCCATTGCTTTAGTAGCATTAAAGGGTTTATTTAATAGGTGATTAGAATTATGCATGTCTTCAATTTGGTAATTGACGTTAATAATAAATTAGTTTGAAGACAATAAAAAATACACAAATCTTATCTTATCTTGTAATATAGAACTATTTTTAAAAGTAACGCGAGTTTAAAGAAAATAGAGTGTAAACAAATTTCAATATAAGAATAATATTTTTAATAGATATTCAATTCAACACGTTAAATAAATGTGGATATAAAATAGAAAATAAAAATATTGATCAACTAATAATATGACTTTTTATTCCTTTGCACTTTTCCACTTTCAATATAATATTTTAATTTATTTAATTGAAGTTGACATGAACCCCACAATTATCTTGCAATTCCCGCTCAAACTTTACATTCTCTCTCCTTTTGGTTTCATTTTTCAGCCTTAACTAATAGTTTGGGCCCCACGATCCACATGTCAAAAAATGGGTGGAGCCTCTTCCAACTTTAGTTGGTTGGGCCTCTACATAATAAAATTTTTCCGCATATGTGATTTATGTTCATTGTACTGTTATACCTATATTATGCTTATTTATAGTTTATTTTATACATTAACATAATTTGTTTTCATGCTCTCTTTTTTTTTTGAAGACTTGCACCACATGCTACTGGATACTAAAAATCTAGTTCGAAACAATATCCATTTATTAGCTGAGGTGAACTAACCCCCTTGGCTCATAGTGGCGTCTCTACTTTCTACTTTGAATTTTGTCTTATAATACTTTCTCGACTCCACTTGTGAAATTAGTTTGTCTTCTACATTTGTACCGTTTTCTTTTGAATTCCGCTGCTTATAAGATTTTGATCTATTATCTACGTTGCAAATACCTTTATTTATATATTTTGTTGGCTTATAAGAGTTTGAAGTAAAAAATTACAAACAATATGTATGCAGTTCTATCAATCTCAAGTGTTCAAAGAAAAGAGAAATTGTCAAGAGGGAAGAAGTAAACAATCAAAGATGATTTTCCATACGAATCATCTAAAGACCAATAGTTACCATTCAGTTTAAAATACAATGAACACCAATAGTTCATGATAACAAAAACTTACATGGTACCCTTCCATGATTATCTAGCAAAAATCTGAAATATAACCTTATTTATCTACAAGGAAGATCATGATACACAGAGATGCATAGACCGAGCACTTAAAGCAGCAGACGTCTTAGAATTACAAAGACAAAATCGTGTTACATTTACAATCTACTCTTCTTCAATGGTCCCATCTCCTTTGCCTTTGCCCTTAACAAGTGCTTCTGTATTTTTCCTGTAGCTGTCTTTGGCAATGGTCCGAAAAACACTGACTTTGGTACCCAGTACCTAGGCATCTTTGATCGACTAAATTTCATAATATCCTCTGCAACCTGTTGCTGATCTGTTTCCTTTACAGCAGGCTTTAATGTCACAAATGCACAAGGTGACTCTCCCCATTGCTCATCAGGCCTTGCAACAACGGAGACCTCCAGTATTGCTGGGTGTTGATATAGGATATTCTCGACCTCAACACTACTAATATTTTCACCACCAGATATGATGATGTCTTTTGATCTGTCTTTTATTTCAATATATCCATCAGGATGTTTTACAGCAAGATCACCAGAGTGATACCAGCCTCCTGCAAAAGCAGCTTCATTGGCTTTCGGGTTCTTCAGGTAGCCTTTCATCACAACATTACCCCTGAAGACGATTTCTCCCATCGTTTTCCCATCGGCTGGAACAGGTGTCATGTCCGTGGGGTTAACTACATCTAGATGCTCCAGGCTTACATATCTGACACCTTGACGTGCATTGAGACGTGCTTGAACATCTATGGGAAGTAAATCCCACTCAGGCTTCCATGTGCATATAGTGGAGGGGCCATAGGTTTCAGAAAGGCCATAAGTGTGTAAGACACGGAAGCCACGTTGAGTCATTGCAGCAAGAACAGGAGGAGGAGGAGAAGCACCAGCAGTGCTTACATGTACTAGGCGAGGCAGGGGAAGGATGGTCTCCTCTTTTGAAGCATTAACTATGGTATTGAGCACCACAGGTGCAGCAGAGAAATGGGTTACACCAAGGTAAGCTATGGCGGAATAAACAGCCTTTGCAGTTACCTGCATATGGCCCACTCAAAAAAACAAAAGCAACCTTGTCAAGAGCCAAAAGCAAGAAGCAGGGAGAAATACATCAATATATTTGACCTGCCCAAAAGCCGTTGTCTTTTCTAGCTACTTTTGTTCTTTTATTTCAGATATAGACCAAAAAGGCATGTGCCCCTCCTCCTCCTCTTAGTATATTCAAAAAATTTCAGATTCAACTCGTGCAATAATCTTTGAGATTTTAATTAGGAAGTAGGCACGGTGTTACTTTGTTAAAGTATATGCTAAGACAATATATTTCTCTTTAATATTCTTCTAGTCCATTAACCTATTTCAAGATAAAACATTGAATAATTGTTTCTAACCCTCGTAGTTGGAACAATAGGATGTCATTGAGTTTTGTTTGGTCAGTTGTATGATCAGAAGACAATATAGTTTTTGTTGGATATATCATCACCTACGCTATCCTTTCAGTTTTCCAGCATTTCTTGATAGATCACCCTAATTCTTTGTACAAATACAAATCACTAGATATGCGTCTTTTGTAA